TCAACTAGTGACCTGGCAGGCAAGTGCTACTTCTAGGACAATAGGAAATACAAGTTTGAAATTTTTAGTGCTAATCTAAGGCCACTTTTAGGGGAAGACAATGAAGTACATTTACTATAAGATGGCCAGGTGTGGTGGAGCATGCCTCTAATCCTAGCATTCAGAAGGCTGAGGCAGGAGGATTGCCATGAGTTAAAGGCCAGCCTAGGCTACATAGTTCCAGGCCAGCTTGAACTACTTAATGAGATCCTGTCTTAGCCCTCCCCCCAATATATATATGAGTGATAACTTCCTATTTTTAGAGCTCTTTTAACCAATGTTGACTGCAAAGGAGATACTTTTATATTCTATTTTCTGTTTCAAAAGTTAGACGGTTCTAACATTTGGAATAAGTTCTTAAAGTAGTAACTTAGCTGTTAAAAAAGCAGGCCAACATTTTTGATGCATACAAATTAGAAGTAAATATATTCCTTATAATTAAGAATTTCTTTTTATTTGTGAGGCCTTGGCATAGGTATTTTGAAAAAGGTCCCTATGTGGTTTTGCTACAGATCCTGCAAAAGGAAAAGGTGGTAGTCATTTTGGCCAGAAATATTTTTGGGGTTTATTATTGTTTATCATAAAGTAATATCATTGTCTAATTTTAAATGCTGTAACTTCCAGATAAGCATTCTAAGAAGAAGTCATCATAAAATGTACATACCTCTAATTAAATATCAGCTCTAACAAAAATTATGATTTTTAGAATAATTTGTTTTTAAGTTAGTGGTTCTTAAATCTAGGTGCACATAAAAATCATCTGAGGAGTTTTTAATAAACAAAACCCTTCCCTGGATCCCATCTCCAGAGGTTTTAATTTCATTGTTCCCAGGCACTGGTGGTGTAAAAGCTCCCTGGATGACTTGCATGTGCAGCTAGGATTGAAAACTACTGGTTCCATATAGAAGTTAAAAGTTTTCAGGCAAAGGAAGGGCAGATTGTAGTGGAGGGTATGGTTTTATTTGTAGTTTTATTTAAAGCTGTTGGAAACATGGGTTCAATTCCTAGCACCAAATAATAATAATAATAATAAAACTGTTGGAAATATTTAGAACTAATTTATTTCTCTTGTTTTTGTCCTAGGGTCTCTATGGCAGTGTGATAGTGGCAGGAGGAAACACGCTAATACAGAGTTTTACTGATAGGTTGAATAGAGAGCTTTCTCAGAAAACTCCTCCAGTAAGTTCAGTCATTAAGTATGTCCTCACCGGTGTTGTAGTTTTATAAGGGTTCATTTTTTAGTAGGGAGATACGTATGTGGTATTACTTAATATCTCTTACCAGAATTTCCTAAATGACATCTATTGATTTCTCCACATATTTGAATCTCGCTTTATTCATCAACTTTGTACTTACTCCTAAGTGTGTATGGTGTGTTAGATGCTAGGGTGACAAAGTACAGTCCCTGCCCACCAGTGGCTCAGTCTACTTGGAAAGTCAGACATGTAAAAAATGATTATAATGAGCTAAATGCTTTAGTGTGTCATGAACCAGGTACTCCTGGGAATGCTGAGAAACAGGCACTTAACTCTCTAGGACTATCAGGAAAGCCCCATAGAGAAGCTGTTATTTGAATGAATAATTCAAGTGGTTGCTAATTTATAAAAGGACAACTAAGTGGAGGGAATACCATGTGCAAAAAAGTATGATAGGAGCCGGGCATGGTGGCATACACCTGTAATCCAGCCCTCTAATTGCAGCATTCTGGGAGGCTGAGGCAGGAGAATCACAAAGTTGAGCCTGGGCTTGGCCATTTAGCAACTTAGCATGACCTGTTTCCAAAATAAAAAAGAGCTGTGAATGTAGCTCAGTGAGAAGACCCTAGATTACAATCCCCAGTACTGGGAGAAAAAAGTATGGTGGGAGGATTATATGTTCCAGTAATTTGAAGTACTCAGTGTATAGCTCTGTAAGTGGGGAAAGGGGAAAATGATGTGGCTGGGAAGATGGATGGTATGTTAATTTCCTAGGGCTGCCATAAGAAAGTACCACAGTATTTGAATATTATTGTAGTTTTTTTCCCCTTGCATTGTTCTTCTTTGAATGGTTTTAATTTTTGTATGTGTGTGTGTTTGATAATAAAATTATTTAAAAAAAAAAAAGGAAAGAAAGTACCACAGTGTGGTGGCTTAAAACAACAGAAATGTAGTCTCACGGTTCTGGAGACCAGATCCGAAATCAGGGTGTCACTTGGGCCAACTTCCCTCTGCAGTCTGTAAGGGAAAACGGTTTTTTTCTTCTTCCCAGCTTCTGCTGGCTTGCCAGCAATCCTTGGTTTGCATCTGTGGTACTTCTCTTAAAAGGATACCAGTCACATGGGATTAAAGGCCCATCCTACTCCATTATTGATCTCGCGTACATGTGAATTACATCTGCAAAGACTCTTTTAAAATTAGGTCATATTCATATTAGGTAATAAGGATTAGGACTTCAACATACTGTATTTTTTTAGGGGATACAATTCAATCCACAACTGACATGTAGCAGGGCATGCCTAACTCAGTATTTTGGGTTTTGTTCAGCCAACTTCAACTGGATAAAATCTGGCAAGGGCTGATGAATGCATGTATGTTTTAAAATGGTCACAGGGTGTACTGTGAAAATTTTTAAAGGGATAGAAGAAACTGGATTAGGGAGCAGGTGATTTATGAGGTATATCAATAGTAGGAGTCATAATTGAATTTTAAAACTTTTATCAAGTATTTTTTGTAAGGTGTCACTAAATATTAACTTGAAAAATGTACGAGGAGTTATACAGGCCCTAACAAACCTATAGAATTTGCATATTTGATAGTCTTTTGGCTTTTTATATAAAAGTATTTTATATATGGCATATTTTTATAATTAAGAGTGGTATTTGAATATTGATAGATCCACAAGGTTGACATCTGCTCAATGTGTCTTGCATTCATGGAGCTACAGTCTGATCTAGAGTATACCTGAAACACAGTGAGGCCCTTAGATTTCATAGAGCGCAGTGGCAGAGTGTTTGCCTAGAGTGTTTGCCTAACGTGTGAGGCCCTAGGTTCCATTCCCAGTGTTGAAAAAAATCTGTACATATTCACCCTCTCCCCAACACCTTTTCCATATCTCATACCTTACTCCTGCCACATACACATTTCACTGTGAAAAAGACTCAAACTATGTTCATATGTGTAATAATTGGAATGTATTAACAACTTGAGAACTACTAGGCAGATCCCTAGGTACGGAGGAAAATCACTGGATATAGGAAATGAGATGAGGGATACTACTGAGCCATAAAAGTGTCAAAGTGTGAATTCAAAACAGGAGCACTAATTGGGAAGGAAAGCAATTCAGTCTTAACCCGAGATGTGATGATTGAAGTTTGGTTTGAAAGGGCAGGCGTGAACTAAGGAAGGGTTAGGGTGGCCTGAGACCTGGAAGGGCAGCACTACAGAAAGGGAGGCAAGTTGGGCTAATTGTACTTGGTGTTGTATAAGGCACTTAGTGTGTGTAGTACCATATTTATGGTGGTATGTTTTCTATTATAGGGTATAAATGCTAGCTAAAAAACTGCCAAAATTGAATTTCCTAAGTTGAATCCACTGTTTTGATTGTACTAATATACTTCCCCCCCCTCTATTTTAGAGTATGCGGTTGAAACTGATTGCAAATAACACAACAGTGGAACGGAGGTTTAGTTCTTGGATTGGTGGCTCCATTCTAGCTTCTTTGGTTAGTAAATGACAAAAATAGTTTTGTTTTTTTTTTTTTAGGTACCAGGGATTGAACTTGGGACCTTGTGCTTGCAAGGCAGGCGCTGGAACCACTGAGCTAAATCCCCGGCCCACAAAAAATAGTTTTAAAGATCCTTACTTGAATTAAGAATTCCAGTGTTTCATATATCCTTGTATTTCACAATTTTCAGATGAGTGGGAGGACCTAATACCAGTTTTATATGTCCTGTTATAACAAAATGACTGCCTTATTATTGGACATTTGTTAGCCTAATTTCAATTTCCTCTCTCAAACAGAGGCAGAAATGTGAACATATTCATGGCTCTTAATACCTCTGTTGGGACTGGTTAGAATTTGTTTGTAGTATACTTAAAACTAAGTAATTTAGTTCTGGGCTGTTCCCTGTTCTGTTGGTGAAGTATGTCGGAAGTCAGGATTTGGTTCTTGGGCAAAAGAAGTTATTGTGTTGGGTCCTGGACTGGTGTCTGCCTTTAATAAGGAGACTTTTCTGGACCCAAGACTTGGAGCACTTCCCATTTTCCTTGGGGAACAGGTGAAGAAAATGTCACAGGTACTTAGGCCTCCTGACAACTTCTATTATTGCCTTAATTTGGCACAGAGCCGTCACAAGTATATTCTCTTCCCTCCCACCCATTTTACAAGTCTTACATAGTATACAAAGTGGAGAATGATTTAATATTTTTGGAAACCTGAAAGGCAAGGCTATGAGATCTTTGGATGGTTTTGGAGGAGGGGAGAAACAAGAGAGTAATGGAGTACTATTTTGGGGGAGGGAGTTTAAGAGTTCAAAGTTTGAGTTATCAAAATATAGTAAAAAGTATTTTCTCCTAAGGCAGGCATAATTATATATTTCCATTTTCCAGGGTACCTTTCAACAGATGTGGATTTCCAAACAAGAATATGAAGAAGGAGGAAAGCAGTGTGTAGAAAGGAAATGCCCTTGAAAGAGTTTCCAGACCTCAACCTTCCTGTGTCACCTTACGTTTCATAGCTTTAGTATACTCAGGAAAGAATTACCATCTTTTGTAGAATGTTTATACATTTTTGCATATTTCAATTTCCACTTAAATTTTTTAAGGCTTTAACTGGCTCTATATTAAAATGAGTTTGTGCTTTCCTTGAAATGCACTTACTCTGATTATGAGCGTTTTATAATTTTGTATAAATGTCTATTTTCTCTAAATATTTTGCTTTCAGTAAAATGCTTTCCAACTCTACTTAGTATATTAATTACCAGTGAATGGTAGAATTGTTTTTTATTGACTAGTAAAGTTACTGCCTATGCTTTTTACCTTAGGCTTTTAAAATTAAATAAAAATTAGCAGCCATTCCAGAAATAGTTTCTGATGTGTATTTTGATTTGCTACTTTTAAACACAAGTATTTATCATTTTGAGTGAAAGTATTCACGTTTATTAATAGTAGTTCCCATCCTCTTCATATCCTATTAATAGTAACAGTAAGAATGGTGTCTGAATTCCAAAACTACTGTATTGCCTTGTTTTGACTGTTAATATCACTGGTGTACTCTAAGACAGCAGGTGATATAGAAGCATGCACAGACGTCAGAATTTTTAAGATGGGAATCTGGTCTGAACTTTACCTGATTTTTAAAAAATGTGGTAGAAGCAAGACCACTTTCAGAATTTACATGTCAGGTTAACCTTTAGAACAACTGCTAAGTCATGTGACTAAAACCAATTTTTTTATAAATCACTTAAAATATATTTTTGTACATAGTCTGCTATACAAGGAAAAAATCAGAAATCTTTTTTAGACAAGACTTGACTTCTGGGCTTCAGCAAGATGTGGAAACTTTTCTTGCAGAGCTTTCTGTTTCTTTTTCTCCAAAGTTTTCTTTCTTGCTGAAATGCGGGCTTGTTTCTCAGTTCTCAGTCTAGAATAATAAAAGTATAACAGCAGTTTTTACTTAATGCTATATATTCAAATCAATTACATAAAAGCTTGAGTCATAACAGTCTATTTTGTGCACTATGTATATTATTAAACATCACTGTAAACGTACACAAGAGACAAATGAAATCAAAAGCACCAATATCTGAATTAACTATGGATTCTACTTTGTGACTGGAAAGTGTCCAGATCTTACAAGCCTGTAACAGACTGGGCCTGAAGTTCAATCCTAATATGATGTCTCTCAGAACTTGTGGAAATTACCTGATTTCCAATAGTACTCACTCTAGCTGACTGTCCCTACACACAATAAAACCATGCAAAGAGGTGATGCTTGGGCACTGGTTAGACTTACCATGCTCTCAACGAGTCTGTTCCCACATCAGCATCCCAGGGCACGAGGCATTTGTACCTCAACTAAATTACACTGACCTGTAGGGCCACTTGGGTATCATCAAAATTGAAGATGATAAATTCATGGGGGCCAAGCCTCTGGGGCACTTAAATGAGCATTTCACAGCGTCTTATTGATCAGCTTATTTAAGCTATAACAATACAATTAAGAGAGACACTGAATAACTACAATATACTAGTACTGTCAGGTCACAGAAACTGGAGATGTTACATCTGGGTGAAGATAATATACACATAATTAGAAAAAATATAAAGACTAAACAGCTGAAATTACCTCTTCATCAATATTTGCTCCAATTATATTTTAGACATTTGTTTAAAAAATATTTAAACAATAAAGGTTTGCTACTAATAATATTTTGAAGATTATGCTACATTTTCTGAATGGAAAGCTAAAAATGGTTTAAAAATGAAATTGTAGAATATGAATAAAGCCTAGAAATGTGGCACTGGTTTGACAAATTTTCATATATTTTAAAAGTCACTGGGCCAGGGATTTAGCTCAGTGGTTCTGCCGCCTGCCTCACAAGTGCAAGGACCCGAGTTCAATCCCCGGTACCCACACCCCCAAGTCATTTATAGCCTCATCTTAATGTCTAAGAGGGGGCAAAAGGACCCAATGGCTCAACATTGGGCTTGGAGAAATTGGAGAAAAAAGGAGCCAGTGCAGTCAAATCTTTACTTGCTCACCATCAAACCAGTTCCTAAATGTGAATAGATGGAAAGATTTCAAAGCTGTAGGAACAAAAGCAGAAAATGAGCAAGACTTTGTATTTTTTTCTTTAGACAAGAAGCGACAGTTTCTGAAAAGCACTGATGTGATAAAGGCTTGAGGAAAACTAGCCAGGAAAGCGTACTTGAATGGGTTGGAATGAGGAAGATGCTCAGTAACTCAAGTTAATGAGGAGGGCAGACAGATCCTGGAGACTCTTTGCAGAATTCAGTACTGACTGAGCGTAGAGAGCTGGTGATGAATGATGGCGCTTAGTGCCCACACAGAATGGATACACTACAGATGCAATGAAGTTGTTGGTTCAGTTCAGTGGGGAAGATGGAAAATTTAAACTGACACTAAACACTTTAACGTTCAATCTAAAGATATATTCCATTTGTGTTAGAAAATTTATTTAATTTTTTTGCATAGAGTATGGAAACAAGCCTTTGGGGAAAAAAGTCTTGGAAGAGACCTTGCTAAAACTATGATGTACTATCCAAGGCAGCTGTCAAAATTAACTTTCAGGTGCTTTTCTAGCCCTGAGTTTTCATTTCTAGCACAGTTAGCCAGAAACCCTGCAGTTCCCTGACCCCATCTCTTTTTGCAGCCACAGGAGTAGGAGTGAGAAACCACGTACTTGCAATTCTTTCCCCTCCATTTGCAGCTTTGGGGTTATATTCTCTGGCTTTTGTTTGCTTTTGGATGTGGCTCCAGTGTTTTAATTAGCTGTTTTAAAATATCTTATTTAGCTTTTATACTTATCAACTGGTGGTTCTTGGGACCACTACCCTCCTCTACCATAAAGAAAGGCCTATATTTTCCCTATTTAATGATAAACTTAACCTATCAAGGCTTAGTAATCTATTTTTGGAATGCCCATAACAGTGGAACATAATGAAATATGTTCTCTTCAAATTCTTATCCTTGAATTTTTCTAGGTAACATGTACGAATTTCATGCAAAGATTAAAAAATTTTTAATCTCTGGCACAAATGGGTTAAATATGCAGAGATCGGCAATTGTAGGATAGCATAATTCAGACAGAAAGAATGCAACTGAATTCTTTACCTAGATGTTTTCATAAGCTCACATTTTATGGACCTTGGTTATCTGGATCTGCATTTTACCATTACAGTAGGATTTCCCCATCTATTTACATACAGGTAGATAAACAGGTAATATAATTTTCAAAAGGATACATACTGTGCTGACAGTGGCTACTTCTTAATGGTTAGAGTATATACGACTTTTTTTCTTTATTTTTACCTTATCCTATTTTTTCCACAGTGAACATATACTATTTATGTAATAGAAACTAAAATGTAAAGAAAGTTTAACATGTATCTGATGTAGAGATACAACTATGTTTCACTCACCTGATAAAACGATCCACATAAGGCATTGCAAAGAATCGTTTCCTGTTGTATCTTTTATTTAGGTACCAAGGTATAGGCCACTGCTTGAACTTGTGCCTGCCAAGAAAGGAAAAAAGGTATTGCCTTATAGAAAACAGTCCTAATTTTCTACCTTTTCCTAATTGACTTCAAATGAATTAACCCAAATAAAAATTAGTAGAAAGTAAAATTTTAAGTTTTTGTTTTGTTTGCTTGCAGTGCTAGAGATCAATCCTTGGGCCTCACACATGGTAGCAAGCCCTCCACCATTGATTTACACCCTTAGGCCCTAGAAAAGCTTTTTAGTGAGACATTTTGGCAATTTCTTTTCTATGTTGAATTGGATAGTTACAGAGAGCACAGCTACTGCCCTAAATATGTCTCTGAGCAGTCCTACTGCTATAAACTCCACTGAAAAAAATTATGAAATGAGTAAGTACTACTATGTGGTGTAATTTCAAGAATCCAGGAAAGGCTCTAACCACCTAGTGCATTCTTCATTTTGCTGATTTTTAGGTGCTACTAACAAAACTACATTTTAGCTGCTCAACCAAAATGTAAATAAACCCTAGAATTTTTACCCTAGGGTTTCTCAATTATTTTGTGATCATCAGTTCTCCAATGCCTGACAAGGCTCTGAGAATTATATGTAGCACACAGCAAGAAGCAAAACATAATTTGGCCTACACTTTTTTTTTTTTTTGGTACCAGGGATCAAACTCGGGACCTTGCGCTTGCGAGGTAGGCGGTGGAACCACTGAGCCAAATCCCCGGCAACACCTTTTTACTAATGGTACCCTAACCAAACTGAAACTCATTTGACCTTATTCCTCAAGAAATTCTTTTTAAAAATATTTGTGGATTCTTTATGGGCCAAAGATGGCAGGGCTAAGTCCTAAAATCAGCTTCAAGAGTTTTATAACCTTCTGAAATGGTATGTATACATTATATTTTTCTAGGGAAAGGATCCATAACTTTCATCAAAATTTCAAAAGGTCCTATGACAAGATATGAATCACTTATTTAAAACCCTACATATACTGTAACTGAATGACATGAATGGGATGTCTGGGCTAGTACTGGTTTTACAAAGGTGCCTTCATTCATATGTTTCGGTGTTCTAAAGATACATCTTGAATGTATCTCATATGGCCTGCCTGCCTGTCTCTCTCTCTCAGTACTAGCAACTGTTCCATCACTGACCTGTATCTCCAGCCCTTTTTAATTTTTTTTTTTTTTGGTACCTGGGCTCAAACTCAGGACCTTGTGCTTGCGAGGTAAGCGGCGGAACCACTGAGCTAAATCCCAGGCCAGCCTTTTTTAAATTTGGGACAGGATCTTTGTAAGTTGCCCAAGCTGGCTTCCAGCTTGTGATCCTACCGTTTCACCCTCCTGAGAACCTGTGATTATATCAGTGGCTAGCTGGAGAATTTTTTTAAAAAATTCTGAGCAGGGGAATGAGGTATAGGATCTCCACTCTCATCTCAGAAGAGTCACAGTGTAATCTATGTACCAAATGATTCTTCCAAAGATGTCTCTTCTCCAAGCACCAGGTCTAGCATTCTCTTGCCCAGTCTGGAGAAGCCTCAAAGCATCTTCTCTTTCCTGGACAACTTTATCTAATGCATCCATGGAATCAACTACCTGAGAAAAGAATAGAAAGATTCAATTCCGGCAATACCCTATAACAATTCCAAAGAAAAAGAATACATAGATTTATGCTATAATCTATGATCAATATGTTTATCAAGGAACTACCATCGAGAGCTTCCTAAAAACCTTTTTTGGCCTAGGTATGTGTTCATTGGTGTCGCTAATATTACTTTCTATAACTCTTAAAGACTTAAGTTTTGTTTAAATGAAAACTTACTTAGCTTGGATTTCCACGTCTTACTTCTGCTTGCTGTGGCATATACTTGCATAAATTCCTTTTGGAGACTCAATTTAGCACATGCTATTTCCAAATTCACTGAATTAATAAGTGGTAATAGTTTGTTACTTTTGTTATACTAAAAACCATGTTTTGGCCTCAACTAATCATTTTCCTCACATCTCACCCAGATATTGCACCCTGCTTGGCACTCTTCTTACTACAGGGAAAGTAGTATCAAAGATTTTAGAATAATTTTAGAATAATCTCAAAGATCCTCCAAGCTGTAAGAAGATACTACTACAATTTTTAGTTTTATCCCTTTCTTGAAGATTCCTATGGTATGATTTTAATGTAAATAATACGCTGGTAGAGTAATATGTATTTGTATAGAAATATTCATATTGGGGATTATAATGTCAGATGAGACAAATCTGTTTACAATTAAAATACTGAAAGCCATTTTTAGGTGAGTATGTGTGTGTTTTTTCCTTGAGCATTATTACAGATATCAAATAAGTACATATATATGCTTCTTTTAAAAATGCTTTAAAAAAGACAGATTAGATTATAATAACTTGCCCCCTCCAGGTAGCTAGTATGAGACCGGATGAAGATGTGAAAGCCACAAATTTAGACCAACCAGCTGAGGCCCAGCACTTCTGCTGTTCCCAACCTTCACTCAATGCCTTACAGTAGTTGATTCATGTCTTCCTCTTAACTATGTAAATTTCTACAACATCCTTGAGAAATAAAAGATGGATAAGACAAGTCTTTTTTTTCTGTTTGTTTGTTTTTCTATGTCAGAGCCTTGCTGTGTAGTTCAGGCTGGCCTTCAACTTATTACATAGCCCAGGCTGGCCTCAAATTCGTAGCAATCCTCCTGCCTCAGTATCCTGAGTACTGAGATTACAGGCATGTGCCACCATGCCTGTCTGACAAATCCTATTTTGATTCTTTTTTTCTCTTTTGGTACCGGGGATCAGACTCGGGTCTTTGCGCTTGTGCAGCAGGCAGTGAAACCACTGAGCTAAATCCCTGGCCCGACAAATCCTATTTTGAAGACAGAAAACCTAAGAGAGTGAAGAGAAAACACTGGTAAGGGCCTAACACAAAGCTCTATAACTTTCAGGAATTTTTAGTAAATCGGCTTCCTGACTGTATTAAAGTTTGCCCAAGCCAGCGCAGGGCATGAGCCTCCTAAATGCTGTCTAATGAGATACAAATTAAATGGCTACCAAGTCCACAAAGTTAACATTGAAATGTTTATGTCAACAGATGAAAAAGAAAATCAGAAATACACAGTGATCACACATATACTCAAAGTTTGGATTGTGGAACATTTTGGATTTTGATGACCTACTCAAATATATCCTTAAAGCAGGGAGAAGGGATAATCTATTATTGAAGGTCAATAACAGCATTATCCTGGCAAAAACTTTTTCGTCAAGTAATATTTTATAAAGGATCCTTTCTTGTCAATGCACTTAAAAGTCTCTAAAACCTAAATTCCCTTAATAGGGTTAGGAAGTGAACCTGAAAATAAATCAATTACTTCATAAATGTCATGTTGCAATGAGGTCCCTAGCACACATTAGTATTAGTTTCTATGCCATTCTTTATTAAAAACAATCAGGTTCCTGTGTAAAGTGGCTGATTCCAGAGCTGGGGCAAGGAAGTACCAAATAAATCCAGAACATCTTGATGAACCTCATCAAAGAACAATGAGGGCAAAAGGCCCTGCTTGAAGAAACTTACATTAGCCAAATCTGGGATGATGGTATTAAAGGATTATAACTTGCTGAATAAAGTTGGAATCCAGAGTCCACACTAGTAGGAAGCAATGGTAAAGAAAGAAATGGGGACACCAGAAAACCTTTCCTGACAGAAGAAAGCTAACTAATAAATGCAGAATGAATGCTAGGGTTCGATAATCACTATTTAGCAAATGTTGTAATTGTTCAGGCAAGACTCATCAGTGGGTAATAAAACCAGCGAATGGATGCTGAGGAGTTACTGGACATTTACATGATCTCAAAGTAGCTTTTACCCCACACACGAGTTGCCAGCCTCCCACAGCCTTACCTTTTCTAACCGTTCTGGACTTGGCATTGGCAAACACTGCCGCTTAGCCTCCTGTTCTAGAGTTAGAAGCATGTTTCTTTCTTTCAGTAAGATGTACCTGTATCAGAGAACACAAAAGTCTACGATGCTATTCTGTGGTTAAGTTAAAAAAGTTGTGGTTTCTGATATCAAAATTAGGAATCTATACTTGAAAGTCCTTTAGAAATCTCAATGTACAGATTACCATTACAAAGAAAAACTCTTTATCTTTGCTTATTCATTTGTTCAAAAAAACTTTCTTTGTGCCACATATTTTATAAAGTGCTAGGAGAGTTACAAAAAAAAATAAAACATAATCCCTACATTCCAAGTGAAGAGAGAAGGAAAACAGAAGATAAATAACATTTATTGAGTACCTGTGATATCCCAGACAGTGTGAAGCATTTTATGTAAACTACTTCATTCAATTCTCACAGCAATACTTCGAGGTTAGTGCTATTTCCTCTTCCTAAATGAAGTAAGGCTGAGAAAAGTAAGATATTCTGGACCACATAAGCTAATTCTTGACTCAAATCTGATTTCCTGTATGCAAAACCCATTCTAGTTTTACTCTATCATGCTGGTTCCAAAACTGTAACATGATGTGGCTTATTGGGTGGGAGAAACAAGTACCAGGGCAATTAAGAGGGAGAAATAAGACATCTCCTCTTGGTTCAGATGACCCGGAAAGATTCAGAGGAGATGGGATTTGGTAGGAAGGAAGGGAGAGCAAAGCAACCATAATCAAAAGAATTGAAATTGCAGAGCTTACGTCGGGGTGGGTTCTGTAAATATATCGGTTTAGAATTAGAGATGGAAGAAGAAAAAAGGAAATAAATGTGGAGGGCATTGAAAAAAGACAAAGGAATTGGGGTACTTTATGCTATGAAAAAAGCCAATCTAGGGGAAATGAGTGGTAGACTGGTTTTAGCCACGGTAAATGCTAAAACAGCCCTAACTTCCTTTCCTGACAACTCATAATAACAGTCCTTTAATACAACTTATTTTTCTATAACAAATCTAGAAGGGACATCTGGAAGGAACAGCTAATTGTTGCCATACAGGAACACAGGGGCAGTGTTACTAGACTATAATCTGACCATTCCAGAGAAACCAAAGTCTTTATTTTTGTGTGAAATACATAATTTTCAAAACAGGTATGGTTTAAACAAACATCTTTGTTTGAAATATCTTTGGGCTAAATATAGTCAATTAAGGAAGCAACTTTGTCTTAAATCCTCTTAACCTTCTCAAATTCATGAGAAGAACCTGCCAGAAAGGTCTACCTAAATGCTCCATGAAACACACCCTCCAATATAAACCCCCAAACTAAGAGGCTAAAGACCCCAGACCATGAAAAAGGCAACAAAAAGGAGGGAAGCCTAAATGTGACTATTCCCCTTTTTATTTATCCTGTTTACCAAAATTGCTAGGATGAAAGTGTTAATATGACTAGTCGCACTTACAATAAAATTTCCAAACTCCCAACTACGTAAGAACTGTGATATATTTGTCTTAATGCAATCTAACCCTCTGTCACATTTATTAAATCTCTGAAGATGTGATGGATCATATCTATCAGAGATGGCAAACCTTTTAGAGACCGAGTGCCCAAACCGCAACCCAAAATCCACTTCTTTATGGCAAAGTGCCAAAACTGCCCCTATGTATGCTGTTATCTGATGCACTGTTGTAGGGCAATGCTGGGACAACTTGGCTCTCATGTCAACAGGGCTCTGGCTCGAGTACCAAGGGTTCGCCACCACCGTGTATCATCCACAGTATGACAAGACAGATTACTTTATTTCTTACATCAGAAAGATGTAACATTTTTACTTCACCATTATATTGTAACTCTATATTACTGTAACTATATATATATATAGTATATACAGTAATTATATATATTGCAACTATATATTGCTTCAAATACCTAGCTATACTCACCAGAGTTTATGTAAATCTTCATTACTTTTGTTCCTTAATTGCTGACAGGTCCATGCAGCTCCTATTAAAATAAATTCATAACATTAAATAATGTTTTTAGCTATGTGGCTTTGGCAAATTAACCTCTTTAAACCTGTTTTCTTATCTATAAAATATATAATTGCACTGTTACATAATATATGATTAGAATTCAATTAAATAATATGATAACATTAGTAACACAACAGGCAATAGGATTTAAAAACTATCAGCATGAAAGTATTTTCAAAACCTATCAAAATATTTTGTCATTACAAATTAGTTTTCAGTTACCACTTAAATTGGGAATCTAACATAAACTCTAAAATCTCATTTTATTTTTAATTTTTTTGGTACCAGGAATCGAACTCAGGATCTTGCACTTGCCAGGCAGGTACAGCACCACTGAGCTACATCCCCGGCCCTAAATCTCACTTTAGTTAATACTTTTTTTTTTTTTTTTGGTATCAGGGATTGAACTTGGGACCTTGAACTTGGTGAGGCAGGCGGCAGAACCACTGAACCCCTGGTCCTTTAGTTAATACTTTTGATTTATTCCTCCTCAGAAGTTTTGCAACCTGCCAAGGAACAACTAACTCTATTATTATAGTGACCTTTTAATGACCTAATAGATGGTCCAAAGGAAATAAAAAAAGGAAACAGCTAAATAATTACTAAACTGGACAAATAATACAAGAATAATGGCGGGTTCAACAAACGTTTAATATTGACCAACCCAAATAGCTCACCAGATTTCACTTTTTCTTGTCCCCAATTCTTTGGGTCATCAAAAAATTCTTCCAGTCCTCTTCTTGACAATGTGGTATGAAGTAATCTACACTGATGAAAGGACGTGACACTTGGTCCATTCTTAGTTAACAAGCTCAGAGAAAACCTGCAAATGAGCACATATAAACAAGTTACTAAAGTTAACAATATTTGGATTTTTTAGGAATAAAGTAAAACCTTTCCTCTTTACAATGTCCAAAAAGACTTACTTGGTATTTTTGTACCAGAAGCAGTAAACTTTTAAAATGCTTACAATTATTATGTATCTGCATGATGGTCTATTTTGCAATAATCTAAAAATTATGTTTAAAAATATTTAATAAACTGGGGAAATGATTTCAAAACAAAATAGTGAAAGGTATCCCAACTGTTGTTTTCCTACCATGATTATTTAACTTGAATCTAAGTATGAGGAAGCAATCAGACAAACCCAAATGGAGGGGTATTCTAAAAAAGCTAGTCTTATAAAAATATGCCCACATTATGAAAGTGTAAAAAAGGAAATGTTTTGGATTATAGGAAACTAACAAGACAACTAAATGTAATAAATCATCCTTCATTGAATCTTGAATCAAAAAGAAAAAATTCACCAGGGCAAGCTTAATTTGGGCATATAATATAAATAGTACTACAATAGCAGTAAGGTATTAATTAAATTTCCCAAGCATGATTATTGTATTGTGATTAGTAAGGCAGTGTCCTTGTTCTTAGAGGATATATGCTGGAGCATCATGATGTTTGTAATCTGACATAGCTCAAATAGCTGCAAATAAAGAGCATAAATATAAAGCAATAAGGAAAATGTGACAAAAGGCTAATGAATGGCTAATACAGGTGAAGAGTGTATGGTTACTTGTGCTACTCCTAATTTTTCTATTGCTTTGAATATATTTTTTTAGTTTGAAATTTTTTTAAACCAAAAACTGGGGAACAATGGTAGTAAACAAAAATGGAGGTATGTAAATATGATCCTAACTTTACTTTATTTTCCTAAAATGAAGAGATACTCATTTTATTTATTTATTTATTTAGTGCCAGGGATTGAACAGATACTCATTTTATAATGAAAAATGTTAAAATTATTTCCTTTTTAAAGAAAAAGAGTGATCAGAAGAAATAATTGATCAAGTTTGCCACCTTGATCAACCTCTGAAAAAAAAATTTACTTCTGAGGTAATTAACATAGTAAGTAGCACATAAAAGATGCTCAATAACTGTGCATTCAACTGCAGATACATCGATTTAAAAAAGACCCAAGTGTGACACATTCTACTATTTATAAAATGCAACTCATTATAGACAAATGTCAATAAAGAGGAGGAAACCATACATCATAAATCAAAACTGACTGGTCTAACCAGAACACAAGTTGTCTTTTCACCTGGAAAAAATGAACATTTCTAAGATGTTCCTTTCTCACACTTGCAGGGCAACTTTATGTTGATTTGGCTAACTTTTGGTATTGACTTAATATATACTGAAGAATCTCTTTGGTGCTTGTTTGTTTTTGGAGACAGGGTCTCGCTCTGTAGTTCAGGCTGACCCTGAACTCACTATGTAGCCCTGGCTGGTCTCCAACTCGCGGTGATCCTCCTGCCTCAGCCTCCCGAGTGCTGGGATTACAGGGGTGCGCCACCATGCCCGGCTCTGAGCTAGCTCTCTGTGACAGAACCTGAAAGTACAAAGCCCCCTTCTTATTTACTCATCTAAATCTGGCATAGCCTTTAGTTTCATAGTAAAAGCTCTTCGGTGACCTTTTCCCAACCTACCCAGCTAAAGAGAATGGTTCTGCACCTCTAGGGTTAATTCAACAAATACAGGGCATCTACAAACCCCATCTACTGTCTGGTCTACAGAAGGCTGCAACAAAATGTGGAAGGGACGAAATACCAGAGGTGGGCAACTTCTCCAAGGTCACTTATTCCTCACAGAGGCGGGTTTGGGCTCTGCCATTTAGCCGGCCCTTCCCTCCCTGAGCATTCCTCGGTCTCAGCAACCAAACAAGATTCAAAGCTAGAGTGGTAGACAAAGCTACTTCGCATATTCACTTACCCTGAGCTAGAAGGGGCCTTAGGAGTTATTAATGACCCAGAAGCCTTTAGGACTGCCGAGACTCTTCTACAAAAAGTAGCCACACTGGCCGCAGCCATTCTTTTTCCGCACAGCTAAGCAAACCCTGTTTCCGCCAACCAATCGTCATTTCCGCTGTCTCACGCCGACTGGATAAAAAGAACTGGAACTAGCCTTTGCCCTTACTCAACATGGGCGTCAATCAACTTCGCCCTCATTGGTAAATTGACTCTCTCGGCTCCCGTTACTCTCCCCGCTTCTTCCTGTTGCCGGTCGCAGCCATGGCGGCTATGAGTTTATTGCAGCGGGCTTCTGTCACTGCGGTGACGGCTCTGTCTGGCCGCCGCCTTGGCACTCGACTCGGATTCGGAGGCTTTCTCACTAGTGTCTTCCCAAAGACTGTTGGTGCGTGCTGGCCTTGGGAGGAAGTGCATGCAAGGGGGACGGGGTGAGAAATTGGAGGACTGTTCCAGGTGACCTTGGTGGGATCCGGAGGGTTCAGGGACAAACTGTGGGCTTGGGCTTTTATGTTAAACGGAGCACCATCTGTGTAAAGGACTTTCCTGAAGTAATAAAATCGCTTTCGTTTAAATTAATTAGCGTTTGTAAAGCATTTGCCATTCACAAACCAAGTTGGTGCTAATTTGCAGCCGAGTCTGAGAAGGCTTAGAGCCGAGACCTGCACTAGGTTCTGGTCCCACAGGTCTTGTTGCTGAGAAGTCCACCGATGGTGTGTAATATGTAGATAGGTGGGCTTAGGGCCAGCCTACCCTTTTAGCGCAGGAGTTACTGTGCCTGTAGAGCCCATGTTAATTTTAGGAGTCTATGAAAATGTTTTAAGTTAAATTTATTTTTAAAAGATTATAACGTTAGTGAATTCAGCCTAGATTTTATTTTTTATTTTTATTAGTACATGTTTGCAGAACATAATGATTACATTCATCGAGGGGAGTTGGAACTTGTACGTAACACATCTCAGTTCTTTTTATTTCGCTCCCCCCCCCTTCCTCTTTCCCTCCATTTCTTGGTACCCTCTTCATTTGCAAAAGATCTATCTCCATGTTTCCGATTATCTTTTCTATTAGTGCAGTCATAAAATGGCACTTCTGATATTTCAGGAAGGGCGCCAAAAACTTAAAAGTGCCTAGGTCCCAGAAAAATAATGATGCAGTCCTAGGAACGCAAATTTGGATCCCTTATGTATTGTGGATGCTTAAGGGGGGTAAGGGTGAATACTCAAAAGAGCAAAACATCAAATGATTGGTATTCAATCTATCTTTTTCTTTAATAGACTCTGCAAAATAAATGCAGTGTTATTGTCCCAATTTTACAGGGGAGGAGACTAATTATTATAAAAATAATGCACTATAAGGCTGGAGATTTAGCTCAGTGGTACCGTGCCTGCTGCACAAGCACAAGGTCCTGAGTTTGATCCCCAGTACCGCAAAAACAAAATAAAAAATAATTCATTGGTCTACTAAGTCAGTAATAATGGCAACCAACATCTATTGAGCACCTATTGTGTGTCACACACTATTCCAAGGCTCTAAAATATTGAATTATTTAATTCTCTTCATCAAAATTATTTGCCCTGTGCAATATAATAGGAAGTGTATCCTAAAACCAAAATGATTGTGTCCAATCCCAAATTATCTTGTTCTATTTTTGCCTTTTTTCCCAGTTTTATTTTAAGTATGCTACTTCACATGATGCACTGGAACATGCTGGAAAGGAGCAATAGTAGTCAATTAATTTCTAGCAGGAATATAAGAATATAAACTTTAAAAGTACATATGCTATCATTCCTTGATACAGTCATTTCTAGGTTATTTATAATACCTAATACAGTGTGATCTTATGTAAATAGCTCTTATGCTGTATTGTTTCGGGGAAAAAATGTATGCATGTTTAGTACAGATGCAATGTTTTTTACACCATGCTTGATTGAATCCAAGGATTTGGAATCCAGATACAGAGTCTACTATATAACATTTTGCTTATCTAGTCATCTGCCTTAGGACACTTGGGTTCCTTCTGTGTTTTAGCTATTATGAACAATTCTGCTGTGAACATGAGTGTACAAATATCTCTTTGGGGTCTTGCTTTCAGTTCTTTTGGGCTTATACCCAGAAGTAGACTAGCTAGATCATTTGTTAATTCTGTTTTTAATTTTTTTGGGGAACTCTGTAGTTTCCACTGTGCCTATACCATTTGTCATTCTTGCCAGCAGTGCACAACAGCTCCAGTTTCTCCGCATTCTCCACACCAACTCTTGTTTGGTAGTAGTCACCCAATTAGGTATGTGGTAATATCTCATTGTAGTTTTGATTTGCATTTCCCTAATATTAATGTTGAATATCTTTTCAAGTGCCTTTCCATTTGTATATCTTCTGTGGAAAAATATGTATTCAGGTCATTTCTCATTCTGAGTTGGAAAGGAAACCATTGAGAAAGGTGCGTTGGAAAGGTATACATGTTTATTCTGAGAGGTCATATATTCAGATTCTCTGAAGGGAAGAAATTTAAAGATCATCTAGGCTAATGCCTTATATTATGCTAATCCTTGTTTATGCTGTATTTTTCAGCTTTTCTAATACTGGGATATGATACCTGACACCCACAACTTAAAGGAGGAGAGATTTAATTTGTTCATGATTTCAGGGGATTCAGTCCATGGTAAGGGGCTCCAAGGGAGAAACATCATAGTGGAATGGTGTGGTGGAGCAAAGCTGCTCAGTCCATGATGGGTGGGAAGCAGAGCAGGGGAGCAGTCCCAGAGAAGGAGGAGGGACCAAGGTCACATTTCCATGACCCACCCAGACATACCCAGAATTATGCTCCCCCAATCCCCTGGACACCACCTATACCTGTCCACTCAACACAATCAGGTTTAACCTTCCATATCCTGCTATTGATACTTGAATAACTCTGTAATGGGGAATGAGTGTGCCCGTTTTATTTTCAGCAAGTAAAATTGCTAGAAATTTCATGTATCAAGCTGAAAATTACTGTTTCACACTGATCCTATTTCTTTGCTTCAGGTCATTATAGAATAGAGGAGTCTTCTGTCATGAGACAGCTCTTTCGCTATTTAAAAAGTTAATCTAGTCTCTGCCCAGACTTCTTTTATTGTGGGCCAATCAACTTCAGTTCTTTCAATCTCATTAGATCAGTTTTCTGATTGCTTAAGGTAAGGCAAACTTCATATTGTCCTTGAAAGAATGTGGTCTAGAGGGGACAAACTTGTACAGGTATAGTTGGGATATGGGAGCAGGGAGGATTGTTGTGTTTTGACTCTGTACTTCTTGTACATTAGATTAAGATTGAATTCATCTTTGGGTTTCAAGGCAGGAATTTCCACTGACTACATTTAAGCCTATTATATTCAGCCTTTTGTAAATGAGTATGAGGACTCTTCAGGGGCCCACTTTATCCTCAGTGTATTAGCCACTCTTGTGGCAGTAGCATTGTGTTTTCAAGACTCAACAAGTTAGGAATGCTGTCTCTGCCTCATCCAGGCCATTCATAAAAAACTTGAGAGATCCCTTTGGTAGTTTATTACATTAATTAATCAGCATCTTTTGGTTATAGCCAGCCAGTCAGTTACTCACTACAAATTCATAAGCTTGCTCCTTTCAGCTTCTAATGCAATTTTGCCCCACCCCTCCCCCCATCATCTTCTAAATAGGAACTTTCCTTCTGACCTGTTCTTTTCCACCTACATGACGTTTCTTTCCTTTGTTGCCCTTATAGATTTGCAGTTATTTATTTAGTGTCTTTTTCTCCCAGCAGAATCTATAGCCTTCTTAGACTCTTGACCTAGCAAAGGATCTGCACATGTAGGCTCTTAAATATTTATTGAATTAATGAGTATTTGTGGTATAATGAGATCTATTTTCTTCATGTAGTTTAGAAAAAAATTCAGTAATGGTACCTTTCAAATGATTTGCTGAAATCTACTTTGTCAAGTTGTCTGATTCATAATATTGTCATTTTAGGGGCCTTAGTAGTTTGAGTTACACGTCATAAATTCATGCCAGCTTCTAATTCTCTTGTGAATTAACCTCCTAAATTCATTGCAAGCTACTGCAAGTGATACCAAAATTAAAACAGATCCTGCCTTAAAAATATTAAAATACAGTTAAAAGTAGCAGCAATGAAAGCAAGTACAATTGGCCCTCTGTATCTGTGGGTTCTGTATCCTTGCATTCAACAACTTCAAGTAGAAAATATTTGGGGAGGGCCGGGGGTTTAGCTCAGTGGTTCCACCACCTGCCTTGCAAGTGCAAGGTCCTGAGTTCGATCCCCAGTACCAAAAAAAAAAAGAAAGTATTTGGGGAAAAAATTGTGCCTGTAATGAAGCATATACGGACTTTTAATTTTCTCATTCTCTTAGATAATAACTACGTGGGATTTACTGTATTAGGTATTATAAGTAACCAAGAGGTGAAACTGTGCAGGAGGATGTGTTACATGTGGATACTATACCATTTGATATAGGAAACTTGAGCATCTGTGGATTGTTTTATCCAAGGGGGTCCTGGAACCAGACCTACATGGGTGGATACCTAAACAGAGGATGACTTCATGCACATCACTAGGGTGTACAGCAACTCAAAAGTAGGAGAAGTCTCATCTGATTAGGAGAAGTGTTGGCTTCTTGGATAATAGGATGTCATAGGATGTCACTTGAGCCTAAAGGATAGACTTCAGGAGAAAGGAGACATTCCAGACGTGAAACATGAACAAAGTTTTGCCTTGTTTTATCTCCAGCAGTCCTTGAGTAAGGTCCATCTGGGAGCACTTTTAAGAGGAGGATATTCTTTTTTTTTTTTTTTTTTAATGTGGGAATCTGTT